TCATTTTGCCAGAGTACTACTTACCTTGTTCTGAACCCCAGTGCTCTGAAGGAATAAACAATGAAATGAACTTTCACCTCCACTGCAGAAGAGATTAAGGTCAAAATTACCCTCCTCCTTCCATCAGCCTCCTTCACCCTCAAAGTTCTTCATGTAATGAGACTATTGTGATGAAATTAGTACCCAAGGTAGAGATGAATATTTTACTAGTTAAGAATAGTAGCGAAACATCATACACAGGGTACTTATGTTGATGCTGGGAGGACCAGAGTTAAACCAATGAAAGATGATGCAAACCGTAAACAGCTTTTGTTTGTTTGTTTGTTTTTATTTTTGATATAAACTTTTTGTATCCATAAGCCTCTTGTTGATTTAAAATGAAACCAAAGGGACAAATTAAAAGGGATGGTTGTCAGGAGTGAGACAATCGTAGAACACATACAATCCTGCAGAAAGAGATGTTTTGCCTACCATTCTTCACAGCCTGGCAAACTGGGGTGGCCACCATGTTGTTTTTTAATCTATTTTTCAAGCTAGCACTTAGCTCTCTGTAGTTGGTTATTAAGAGGGGGGATCTGTGGGTCTATTTTTCTCTGCAGATCTGTTTTATAGCATAGAAGGCATGGATGCACATCATCTACCTTGGAAGCTTGTTTCTAAGCTCCTTGGGTAGAAGCTGTGTGGTTATGTGTGTACATACATGCCGTATTCACCAAGCTATGCAAAAGGTTTCAAAGTCAAACTTATTTCTTCTGTGTAACTGATAGAAGGCTTTGTATCCTTTGATTATCATCTCCACGTTCCCCTTACCCTCAGCCTTTGGTCACCATAGTTCTACTCTCTGCTTTTATGAGTTCAACTGTTATATATTCCACATGTAAGTGAGCACATGTATGTTTGTCTTTCTGTATCTGGCTTATTTCACTTAGTATAATGTTCTCCTGTTCCATCCATGTTGTCACAAATGACAGAATTTCTTCCCTTTTTTAAGGCTGAATTCACTGTGTATAATACACCACATTTTCTCTATGTATTCATTTGTTGTTGCATACTTGGGCTGATTCCATAACTTGGATATTGTGAGTAATGCTGCATTGAACATGGGAGTGCAGATATCTCTTTGACCTACTGATTTCAAATCTTTCCAGTAAATACCCAGAAATGGGATTGCTGGATCATTTAGTTCCTCAAAAAACTAAAATTCCATTTTTAGTTTTACGTTTAAGCCAAATGTATTTTAACTTTGAAAGATATATACTTTATTTAGCTTTTAAAATATTCTGATTAAAGTTATACACAGTATTCTCTTAGAATGCTCACATTCGCCTTCTTTAATTATATCCCACTTTTCATTGTAAATGTTGTGAGTTTGTGCTGCAGCCACCTCCTCCTCCTCATCCTCCCTTCTGCCCCCACCTAAATCTCCCTCTCTCTATATCTCTCACTCTTGCTCTCAGTACTTGCCAAATATATATCCAACAGAAAACAATTAACTTTTGCTTTTACTCATCATTGTTTTACTAATTTTTTTTGGGGGGGTACATATTACATATCTAGGTTTTGGTTTGTAATGCTCTCATCTTTTCTTTCTAAAATGTTTATAATTTCTGCTTAACTCAAGAATGATTTAGGGGTGTATGTATGTGTGTGGGGGGGGTATGAATGTTTAATTTCCATGTATATAGATGTTGTACACTCTCTGTCATTAATTTATACATTTCCTTGTTGTTGTCAATGAGCATGACCACCATATTTTCTGCCTGTTGAAAAATGCTGAAATTTCCTTTAGGGCCTAATCGTGATCAGATTTTGAGATTGTCATATGTGTGTGGGTAGCCAGGGTGCAAAGGAGGGAAAGAAAAAAATAATATACTTAGAGAGAGAATAAATATATTAAGAGAGAGAATAAAGCTCATTAAGTACTGTTATTTAAATTATGTTACCTTGAGTTATTTAAGTTGTTTGTACTAAATTATTAAGTATGATATTCAGATCTTCAAGATTCTTACTTCTTTGTCTTCTTCTTCTGTTAATTTCTGAGAATCATTGTCTCCTGTTTGTGACTTTGCTAATTTCTCCCTGTACTTTGTCAATTTTCAAATGTTTTGATGCTGTGTGGTGACATGCTTAAATATTAATGGCAGTTAATATGATGTATTATTACTGTCTCTGCTTTTTCTCTTGAAGTCTGTTTTGTCTCATATTATTGTTATACCTATCTTCTTTTTTTCTTAGCATGTGCCCATGGTATCTTCTTTCATCCCTGCATTTTCAAACTTCTTAGATAGTTTTCAAAATATTTCTGTAAACAACCATAATTTTACCTAATCTGAAAACCTCTTTTAGAAGTGAATTTAACCAATTCTTATTTACTGTGCTTAGTGATGTGTCATTTTATTTTGTGTTTTCTACTTGTAATATGTTCCTGTCTTCTCTCCATTCTTTATCTGCTTACTTTCTAAAAGAGGCTCAAGTTTCTTTTGCTATTTCTCCCCTGCTAATCATTTGGAAGTTATATTTTTTTAATTTTAATTTTCTATAGGATAACGCTTAAATTCATAGCACCCATATTTAAACTCCAATTTTCCTACTAATGTCTAGAGTTTTTAGTAACTCTGTTCGCCTCCCAAAATGGTTTTACTTCCCTTTGTCTCAAACTTCGTTCCTCCAACCACCTCACTGGCCACAACTCATATATTGATATAATCTAGGATTTGGGTTGGCTAATTTTTAAATTTATTTTTTCTTTTCTACTTTTTTGGCATAGTGCAATAAGACTTAAGAGTAAGCCTATTGTTTCTTTTTACTTTATTTTTCTTAACATTATTTCCCATATCTCTTTCTCTATATTTATTTTCCCCTGACAGAGTATATAATGCATTAAATTTTTCAAAGTAGATCGCTAAATCTTTCTGATTACTTACAAGTCTGTGACTAACTACATATTTCTCCTAAAAGTTGAAACAGTATTGAACACAGAATTTTAAATCCAAAATTATTTTCCTCAGAACTTTAAAACTGTCTTACTGCACTTAGTGTTGTGGATGATGTGACTGATAGCAGTCTTATTGTCATTTTACCTCTAGATTATCTTTTCTCTTCCTGCATCTTTGAGAGATTTCGTAATTTCTGCATATTTTGTGTCTTCAATGTCACCAGGAGGTATATTTGGGGGTGTATATCTTTTCCCCCCATTTATACTACATGGAATGAGTGGATTTTTTCACTCTGAGGACTCAAATATTCAGGTTTCAGAAACGTTCTTCTACTGTTGCTTTATTTCCATCCCTCCGTTGTCTCCATATAAGGTTGTTAAACCTTTCCTTTCTATTTTCTATATCTCTCATGCATGCTATTTCTTTTGGTATTGCTTTTTTTTATTATTTATTCTTTTTTGGAGATGGAGTCTCACTCTGACACCCAGGCTGGAGTGCAGTGATGCCATCTTTGTTCGCTGCAACCTCCGCCTCCTGGGTTCAAGCAATTCTCCCTGCCTCAGCCTCCCGAGTAGCTGGGATTACAGGTGCTCACCATCACACCCAGCTAATTTTTGTACTTTTTTAGTAGAGACAGGGTTTTGCCATGTTGGCCAGGCTGGTCTTGAACTCCTGACCTCAAGTAATCCACCCCACTCGGCCTCCCTAAGTGCTGGGTTTATAGGTGTGAGCCCCCGCGCCCGGCCTGGTGTTGCATTTTTAAGAATTCCTTGGCTCAACACTTCATCTGAGTTTTCTTTACAATTCAGCTCATCTATTATTTCAACAATCTTGTTTTAAATTTCTAGTATCTGTAGTTAATTATATTTTAGGAACAGAATATACTCTGTCTTCCCTCTGAAAAAATCAGTATGCTGAAGTCAGGTCGTGTTTTTCCTGGTCACTGTCTTTCCTTGGGTGTAAGTTTTACTTGCTGTGTTTGGTGTTCTTCCATGTTCTTTGCATTGCTTAACTATTTGGTGACTCTTTGTTGTATGCTCATGCAAGATGTTTGGGTTGTAGTTATCACATACGTACCATGTTGCCAACAAGAATGGGTAAAAGGAATGCTGAGTTCTTCCTAGTTGCAGGGAGCCACCCTGAACAGTGCCTAGCTTCTCTTTAAATGTCCTACTCACTGTCTATGATAAAACTGTTGCAGGACTTTTCCTTAGTTCAGCTGAAAATGGGGTTCTTTGTCCCACAGCCATGAAAATTCAAGCTCACAGACAATTTAAATGATGAGTAAGACAGGGTTTAATTGGGTTAAAAAGGGAGAAAAGGTGGCAACAGGGACTCTTACAAGCCCAGAATCCCTGCTAGAGGGCTTCCTGCCCGGCCATTGGAATTCCAAGTTCCACACAGAAGGAGGAGAGGCCAGGCTCCTCTCTGCTACAAACATTGTGAACATCCCGAGGCCCTACCTCAGTGGGCAGGCTGGTTGGAGTTTCTTCAGGGACCCCCATGAGCTGGCTGTCTCAAAACCAGACGTTCTCTTGTTCTCCGCGTGGCCCAAGAGGTGAGGAACAACGGGGTAGGGGAAAGAGAGCCTAAGAGAGGGCTAAAGAGAGGACCAAGAGCTATAAAAAATTCTGGCTATGCCTACGTGATTCTGCAACTTATACCCTGTGGGCTCCTCCTGCCCATATGTTCACCTTCAAGCCCATAGTGCCCTTAGCTATTTACAGCAGACCTCTCTTATGTATTGATTTTGGTCTATGGTTTCCTTATTTTATCTGGTGCCTTCAGATTTAAATATATATATATATATGCACATCTTGTTATTTTGTGGGATTTGGAGAGAATGGAAACTTCCCAAATGATCACCTCTGGTATTTCTTGATTATGATATCTCCAGGTTTAGAGAAAAGAAAGCAAGTTGGAGGTCAGACAAAGGGAAGAAGAAAAAACTGTATTCCACATATTTGAAGAAAAGCTTCCGTAAACACAGAAATGCAAAGTGATTAACCATCCTCAATTGTTTTTCCATTTTATGTACTAATGAGCTACTCTTTTCATTTTTAGGTCTTGAATATAATCATGGCCAAACCTTATGAATTTAACTGGCAGAAGGAAGTTCCTTCCTTTTTGCAAGAAGGAGCAGTTTTTGACAGATACGAAGAGGTAAATAAGTGTTATTAATCTTTTCTCTCATAACATTCTAATAATTATTAAGTTTCAATTACAGTATTGAGTACATATTCTTTGACATAAGTAAGAACATCTTTAGGATTTATAGGTTGGAATTGTTGAAAAGAAGCAAGTTATGAGATAGAGTAATAATGATAATGATACTATAAATTTTTGAGTGCTCGCTATGTGCCAGATGACCTTCTAAACATTTTGTGTGTATGATTTTTAAAAATTTTTTACAACAACCTTATGAGGTTGTTGCTATTAATATTCTCAGTTTACAGATGGGTTTTATGTAGTAACAGTTTTTGCTTAATGCAGTGCTTTTGGCAGTCTTTCTACATATAACTTTGTATGTGTTATAAATGTAATAGTGATTGAACTTTGTGCCAGTCATTGCTTTGTTCATTTCATTGATACAAACCATTTTGACCAAAGCTTTGCATGCCTCTGATTCTATCATTTATTGTCTGTGCCCTTGCAAGGTGGTGATGACTCCAGACTTTCTATAGAGCAGGGGCTTTGGGCCACCAATCTGTTCAGAATGGCTGGGTAGGTGAATTAAAGCCTCATTTGCATTGTAAATGCATGATTTTTCTTCTATTGTACTTGAATTTGAGGTGACTTTGGAAGGAGTGTATAATGAAATTGATGTTTCCTTTACCGCAAAGTTGAATGTAAAACATATTAAAACTTCATTTAGAGTCAGAGTTGGTTATTTCAAAATCAATGAAATGTCTAAAGTGGCTAATTCACTGATCTTCCCAGAGGTCGAGATTGTCAGATGCGGAAACTAGGTCTTCTGTGAGCTGACATAGCTTAATACTTGTTGACTTAATTTTTCTGCAGGGTGTATCATAGTACTCTCTAGATTTACAGGATAGTCACTTTTTCAGTAAACAAAATTGTGAATGCTAAGGATGGACCTAAACATGGTCACTATTCCTTGTTTGAATTAAAATATTGAAGTGATGACTGTTCATATATCTGAAATTGAAATAACAGTAAACTACATTCTGCTATAAGATGAAACAATAATATTCTGCCATCCAGAGACAAGCACTGTTCATTCTTTTGCAGTTTTCTTCTAGTCTTTTTTCATATTTGTTTTTCTTTTTTTCTCTCTCCCATGGTCAAGATCATAGAGTAATATTTTAAAAATATAAAGCAGATCCCATTTCTCCTGTGTTTAAAATGCTTCCATCACTTCCCATTGTAGCATAAAGGGAAGTTCACAGAATGAAATACAAGGTCTTCTATAATTTGGCTCCTGCTTAATTACCTCACGTTCATTTCTCTCCGGTTTCCAACATACACCATATACTTCAACTATAGCAAACCACTTACAGTTTCCCCCATAAGCTATTCTACTACATGGTTTGTTTATGCTACTCCCTCTTCCTGAAATGCATTTGCTCTGACTGGTTTGATTGGTGAACTCCTCTCGTCCCAGAACCCAGATGAGAAATCTCCACTTCTGTGATACCTTCCTTGACCCATTCAATAAGAGGCGATAACTTATTTTTTGCCACCACTGACCTACCCTTGCATATTTTACACTGTCTTCACATTTTATTTAATGTTTCTTTCTCTCAAACTATTCTCTGAGTTTCTTGAAGTCAAGGATCGTATTTTACTTATCTTTTTCTCTCCAGGTACTAGCAGAATACCTGTAACCACCAAACTCTTTGTAGATGTCTAGCATCTAAAATGATTTTAGATCCAGTTGATTCCAATTCAGACTAATAATTCAGAGAAGGTAATTTTGAAAAGATTACATGCAATCATTGGTTCAGTATATCTCATACTGTTATGTAAGGAAAAGCTATTGGAGAATAAAGTACTTGACAAAAGTGAAATGTGATTTGATGAACCAGAGATTCATTTGAATCCTTTTTATTTCTTGTGATTTTTTGGTTGTTAATCATCACAGCTCATATTAGGAAATACTGATCACCTGTGCTTCTAAAGGCATTTGCTTTTCCTCTGGATTCCTCTGCAAACTAGGCAAAGTTAGAAGAAAAGAACCCTTGAACAAGTATTAAATACAATGTAACTAAGCTTTCAACTCTTTCAAGTGCTATTTTACTAGGATTTTGAGCAAAAACGTTTTAACTTTATAAAACAAACATGTGTCTTCATGATAACATACCAAACCACAAAGCCAAAGAATATTTCAAGCTGGATGACAGACTGCTTAAAATAAAAATTATTTCCCACTCCTATAAGACTCAGTTCTTTAGAGCCAGAGCCATGAAAACATTTAAGGCAACAAAATGTAAGCAGAAAAGGTTCGTTTCTATGGTTGGTACATGAACAGCCATGAGGGATTACAGCTGAAAGCCAGTGGGAGGAACAAGAATTAGAGAAACAAAACCCAAGCATCCCTAAAGTGTACCTTTTGTGAAGGGGCGTAAATGCTGTCAGCACCATATGATAACTAATGTTATCATCATGAACTCAAATAGCAGCAAAAATAAAATTATATTCCTTGTATTTGTTTAAAGAAAGCAGCTGGGCTCAATGGCTCAAGCTTGTAATCCCAGCACTTTGGGAGGCCGAGGCGGGCAGATCACTAGGTCTGGAGATTGAGACCATCCTGGCTAACGCAGTGAAACCCCGTTTCTACTAAAAATACAAAAAAATTAGCGAGGCATGGTGGCACATGCCTGTAGTCCCAGCTACTTGGGAGGCTGAGGCAGGAGAATCCCTTGAACCCAAGAGGCAGAGGTTGCAGTGAGCCAAGATCATGCCCCCGCAGTCCAGCCTGGGTGACAGAGTGACACTGTGTCTCCAAAAAAAAAAAAAAAAAAGAAGCAGAGAGGTATCTTAAACAGTGAGTAAGCCACTGTTTTAAAAATAGTCAATAAATGTAGTAAGTGCAAATGCATTTAAAGTTTATTTTATTATTTCTGCTTTACTGAGGAATTATTTTTGAGGCAGCCAGATTTTTACAAATGACCTAAGTGGTAGGCTGTGTTGTAGCATCTGATTGTATTGCCATAACACTTCTAATTCTGTACTTCTCTAACTTTACTTGACTTACACATTACTTAAATGCAAAATATATTTTGTTTCCTAAGTGATGCTTAACATTAAATCTTTAAAATAGAGATTTGTCTCTTGTGGAGGAGAGAAATAGCAGTGCTTTTAAAAATACATGCAACCCAGATATCTCTAACTAAACCAGCCCCCTGACTTTCCTATAATATCCACATTAAAGATCTGTAGAACCCATTCCCTGTCAGGTCAGGGCCTTCCCAGTCTTTCCTAGAATTCCTAGGTGCTTACCTACTCTTGGTGATGACTTACGTCTTCAAGTGCTTCGTTACCATTCACTTTCCAGGACTGTTGACTACTCTAATTTGTTTTCTTTCCTAAATCCATTTTAACATCAAATCCCAGAAGCAGAAGGATGTTGTATAAAGTAGACATTTTACTGAAGATTTAGTGGCAGCAGAGGAGAATTGCATCACACACTAGGACAACTTTAAGATTAAAAATCAGAGATCACGCTGAATAAATTTCATTAGCCAGCCCAGCCAGGGGTGTCTCTCTTTTTTCTTCTTTGTCCCTCTCCTCCATAAAGATGCATGTTCCTGTTTCCTTTATTTTGTTTTAATCACACTCAGAGTCCTTTTTCACTTTTCCAGATGCTTTTTTCTTAACTGTTAAGCATTTTCTCTCTCTCAATCTAAAGAAGAAAAGTTCAAAATTCAAGTCCCTTCTCATCCTGAGCTGTTTGGCTCCCCTTCCACCTCAAACTCTCCCACCCAGACTCTCCTGATATCTTCCCTTTTGCATAAGCCTGAAAGTCAAAGTATGTCCTTAAAACAAACAAAATATAAAAAGAGCTTTATTCTTAAGAAAAAGACTGCCATCATCGATAAGTGTTCACCAACAGGACTTTCCACAGTGATAGAAATGGTCTACATTTGTGTTGCTGTTATGGCAGCCACATGTGACTGTTCAGCACTTGAAATGTGACTACTGGGACTGAGGGACTTAAGTTTTTAATCTTACATAATTTAAATTCAAATTTATATAGGTACATGGGCCTAGTGGCTTTCTTATTGGATAGCATAGACAATCAACTCAAACTATAACCAGATTTAAAAATTCCTTTCTCCTTTCTTGGCACTAAGAAGCATTCTCAGTATATTCCATTGGAATCTACAGAATTCATCAGCCAGTCCTTCTTAGTGGCAGCCAGAGCAGGGGTTCAAATGTTTTATAGATGACTCACCTCAGCCACTGACCTCATCTTTCCCACATCATAAATCCCAGCTTGGGCTACCCCTTCTTCTTGCCCATGGAACTTTCTTGTATCTGAGTCAAGCTGCCTAGATGGAGTCCCTTTTTCTAGCAAAGTCCTGGTCTTCTTGGTCTTTATACTAGCCTCCCCACCTTCCACCCTACACACACACACACACACACACACACACACACACACACACACAGTGGAGGAAAACTGAGACAATTATTGCAGGTGTCAGGATCAAAGGAGTATCAAAGTGCTGGGTCAATACAAACCTAAAGTCAGGCACAGTGGGACAGGTTGACTTTGGCCTCTTTCCAAGGTGGTTCTGAAATCAAATTGTGAGCAGCCACACCATGAAGCTCAGAAAAGATCAAGCAGCCTACACCCCACAGGCTGTTCATCAGAAAAGCAAAGTGCTTTCCGAATACGATTTTCAAGACTTAAAAACACAAGCCTCATATAAAGTATTTTGATTAAAAGATATATTTAACTAATCAGTGAGAACATTAACAGGATGATAAAGCTAGTTCCAAGAGCGCTTGAGGAAGAGAGTTTTACATAGGAAAGGAAAGGAAAAGAAAAGTGAAATAAGTTTTGTCAAAATTAGATACAAAACTGGCTAATGTCCTGTAAGGCAATAAAACTATAACCTATTAGAGATTTGCCTTTTGTTACTGGACACAAGTCATCTGCATCACTATAGAATAACAGCAGAAAAATGCTATCTATT